GTCCTAGAACGAGCTGGAATTTTTAGCATGTATACATTACTGAAACAGCGATGTCTACGTTGGCTTGGGCATGTTGTGAGAATGGCTGATGGTCAGATTCCAGAAGATCTCCTGTATGGAGAATTAGTGCAAGGAAATCACCCCGGAGGGAGACAACAGCTGCGATACAAGGATATCTGCAAGCGGGATCTGAAGGCTTTATTAATGGACCTCAACAGATGGGAAACCCTGACATCTGAGCGTTCAGCCTGGAGGCAGGCGGTGCATCATGGCCGCTCCCAATTTGAAGAGACCCTTGTCCAGCAGGCCGAGGCAAAGAGGCAGTCCCAAAAGCAGCAAAATCAGGGAGCTGGACAAGGGACAGATTGTGTTTATCTTTAGTGTGGAAGGGATTGTCACTCTCAAATTGGCCTTCTCAGCCACACTAGACGCTGTTCCAAGTCCTCTATACAAAGCACGTTACCATAGTCTCTCGAGACAAAAGGATGCCTAATCTAATCTAATCTACGTATTATGTGGAGTACATTATTCAAAATCATAGAACAGATTAAGGTCTGTAAATATTACCATGCTGGCTGGAGTCTTGTGGAAAATACTTTTCCAGTCCTCCATGCATAGAGACAAATCTTTGGGCAAGCAGTGATGGAAATGTGATTTTTTTTTTTTAATGGAAGATGCATTTAAAGCCTGGATACCCATCTCTATCAATCCTCATATTTTTATGTATAGCATGGCAGCTCCTGAAGGGAATAGTAGTAAGCACTGTAGCTGCTGGATACATTGTGCCACCTAGCTAGGGGCACACACAAATAAGGTGTCTTTTTCCTGATTCCAAATTGCCATGTCACTTGGTTAGCTGGGTATTACCAGGTTCTGATATTACCCTGGATTTTTCCCATACCAACCTCCAAAATCAATTTACCCAACACATTTTTGAGACCTCCTCTGAATCTTGTCTGCCCTCCAGGACATCACAAGAGCTTACTACATGACAAAATGACCACTGATATTACAGGCAGGCACCACTGCCCTCATCTCAGGTTTTGGCCCTAAAATCCCAGGGAAGAGGATGCTGCCAACCTGGGAACTCTAATTTGATATGGGAGAAGAATATGTTTATCAATTTTCTGCTGTTCATCTACTCTTTAGCTATATTGGTTTTACAATTCTGCTGCAACCATATGCAAATCAGACAGTACAACTCATTGAAAACAATATATCAGTAGTAAAACTAAGTAAATATAGCATACTTTGTTAGATTCTTACATCTTATAATTATGGTAAATATAGCATACATTGTTAGATTCTTACATCTTATAATTATGTGATTCTGACCTATGATGACTTTTGTCAGAGTTTCCTATATTAAGGTACTCAAAATAGTTTACCATTCCATTCTTCTGGTGATATTCTAGGACTGTGCTGTTTGCCCTAGACTACATAGGCTGGCTTTTCTCCTGGGAGGTACAGTAGGAAATTGATACTTCTGGCTCCACAGTCAAGTACCCAACTCACTAAGCCATCTAGTCAGCAGAATTGTTTTAATCAAAATAAAATCCATTTCAGATACAATAAATGATTGAAGTTATTAATATCATCAATGTATTATTACATCTCATATACATTTATTTTTTTAAAAAAGAATGGATCTTGAAGGTCTCATATATATAATTGTATTTTAATTGTTATGAATTTTTATTGTATTTTAAATGTTGTAAGCCGCCCAGAGACGTTTGGGTAGTGTGGGCAGCATATAAATAAATAAATAAATAAA